GATTTAAAGTCGGTGGCCGTGCGTCACCTGCAGTGCACTTGGGGCGGGAACCCCGAGTTTGTTGATACGCACTGGTATATTGTTGAAATATGCGTCTTCTTATAAACCATTCGCATGCCAAACAAGCTCGTTCCTGCATGGTGGGGGGTTGAATGCCGCAGAAAATGCCTTTCGACTAAGTGGAATATCAGCTCAATGTGGCGTATTGGACGTGCAGCATGTGGCGAGCCTGGTGGACTCTCGTCGTTATACAGCATATCATGAAATAAATTTGCAGATATTCGACCTTTCCCGTTGCTCGTTACTTGACATAGTTCAATCGAGTTTCCTAATCAAGAGCCAGTTCCAAATGCAGGAATAGCGAATTCATGCTCAGGGCCGCTTTCTCCTACCAGTGTGTTGACCCTCCCGCACGATAACTTCGCCTTACCTTGTTGAGGCACTGAGTCCAATACAATCACCGTAAAAACGGTCAGGGCTGCTGAGGAGACCAGGAAGTGCTTTTACGTAGCACTTTGAGGCTAACTAGCCTTCATAAAAAGTAGCACTGCTCGCAAACTCATCTTGAACTGGGTCAGCCATGGCAAAGCTGGTATGATGTGAAGGTGCATGGGACCAACATACAAGTCACTTAACATACGAAGAAGGTTTCGTTCCAAATATCAGTTGCATTTCACTGCCGCTTTCTTTTTGCTCATTCCTGCATTTTCCCACCATTCAGCGAACCTGTGTCCGAGGGACAGAGCTGACTAGCCAACAGGTAGGTAGTACTTCTGTGCAGTGTTCTCGGATGCCAATCCACTTCATTCGCTGTGTACATGTGGGCTACAGTCTACTTGAAACTAACTGAATGTTAGTGGTGCTTGAAGGGTACAGCAGCACGCAACCCGGATGACCCCTCCCGTCATGTTAGAGACCTGAAGGGTGTGCCAGGGAAATGGAATTTCAAGAATTCCAATAACTTTCAATGAAGTTTGATTTTGATTCCAAAGTACTGTGTCTCGCAAATTACAGACCGGATGAAGTTTCACATTGGATACAGTTGAAGGGTGGCCCCTTATTTCCGTGCCCCCTACCCTCAAGATTCCAGCAGGAGGTAAGCAGAACAGCTAGATGCGTGTTGTTGCACCCTTTAAGCACTTCGAGCCTTCAAAGTCATGTAACATTGCAAGTAAAGCAGAGGAGGACAACGTCAATTCATGCCAAAACCAAGCAATATTAATTTGCAGTAGATAGATGATAAGAAAAGTGAATTACAATGACCACTTTCTATTTTTTGCTAAATATAACCGTTCGTGAGGAAGTCCTTAGATATAGCGTAGTTCCTAATGCCGAGCCCTGACGCAGAACCAGGCCCAAGTCTGTAGCGAGATGGTCGCTGTAAGGCTACAGCACAGGCGAAAGAGGAAAATTGTTTGTTAATCAGCCGCATTAAATATAACCTTTTAGGATTTTAAGTCAGTCGAAATGCTTTAGTGGTGAGCATCCGTCTTCCTTCGGATCGGTATCGCTGCTGAAGGTGCGAAAAGAGACCACAATGTTCAAGATGTAATGGCGCTGTAACACAGGACTAGAAGCACTATAGGAGACAAAACACAATATTCCTGAAGGCCATTCGTCAGTTTGTACTTTCTACTGCGGTTGTTGACGGCATCTCCAGTTTGACTTGGCGGAGTGCTGCTTGTGGGGCTGCAGTTTTGGTTTGTGGAATGAAACGATTGCATTGCTTCCTTACCCGACTACAAGCCCGCAAGCAGAATAGGTATGATGCATCTTTCTTGATGAGTGTATATGCTGGAGGCCCTAAGCACGCATTATCGAGCGTGCTACGGCCTGACAAGTTCTCGATGTTGTTCTGTCCCTAATCCAGCTGACACCTTTTTGCCTTATTTCAAAGCCCCACAGTCTGGGTGTAATTTTGAGTATGCTTTATAAGCAGATCTGAAGGGGATTTCATAAGATTACCAGCCACAGGAGTGCCTTCCCATCCCTCTCCATCGCTGATATCATACGCCAACTCTTTCTGTGGCAGCCAACAGCCATCCATTTGCGCTGCAACCCTGGTGATAGTAAAGCTAACATCACGCCTGATTGCATTTATAGCTCCCAAAACAGGGAAGCGTCGCAACTAGGGTTATTCCCGTGCGCCCCATTCCCGGGGGCAGATGTAAACGAACAATTTGTTTGATAAACAGCAAAAATGGCATCCCGATTTGGATTTGGTGCAATTTTCATTAAACTGGCCATCATCGTCAGCGTGTTCTTAGCACTTGCTCTGGGTAAGGCTTCCCTTCAACCAGTCAGCACCTCGTTTGCTTGCTGTACGGTGATTCTTGTGGCAGTGTGGGCGAAGTTTGGGGAGTGTAGGCAAATATGCACACTTTCTGCACTGGTTCATTACATAGAAGACCGACCTTGGCTATGTCCTATGATCTTTGTGGTTTGAGGGCATGGGGGTTGGGGAAGCCAACAAGCTAAAGCTAGACAGGCTTTGTGTATGTACAATGGGTTTGTGTTCGATGGAAATCGGTATTTTGGCTGTTTGAATCTGTAGGCTTATTATGGGCGTACCAAGAGAAGCTTCTGTTTTTTCCAATGCGTAAGCTAAAACCTGGCAACTAGTGCAGCATTCTGATAGGTAGATGTAAATTGGACGGCTACGCTCTCCACAGCTGGTATTCACTGCAGGCAAAGAAAGTGATAGCAGTTGCAGGACAATCAAGCACATCAAAATGATAATAAGAATAGTACTACTAGCAGTAGACGTAACAGGACTGCAGATGCGTTAATGGCTCCTCGACCTTCGGTGTCCACATTTTTTGGGGAATAGTTGACTTTGTGTTTGCCATTACGCAGGTGCTGAGAGTCTCAGTTCACCAAACGACGACCCGTATGCTAGGAGAACTCCTACGAGAATGAGTATGTGGAATGTTAGATGTAAAGCTAGAGGGATTTGTAGTTTGTGCCCATTGCTTCATTGCCGGTGTCTATGCTCCCCACGGACGTTCCACACGCGCCTATTTGTTTGTTGGTATATGTCTTTCCTGCTGCAGAAATTCCTTATGAGGACGTGAATATAACAACAAGCGACGGCGTCAACCTGCATGGATGGCTACTTAAGCAGAAAAGTGCACAAGTAGCCCCAACTGTTATTTTCTTCCACGGGAATGCTGGAAGCACGTCTTCTTCCCTCTCCCTGTTCCCTTGTTTGTTAGGCTCACATATTCTTGTCCAAAATCACTTATTCCAACAGACCACGTAACACTGCTGAGCTTCAAGGCGTAGACATGGCTCGCTATTTCGTGTATTTATTCGGGAAAATGCAGACATCTCACATCGGCTGGAAAACCTTGCCGCAATGTATTGCGAAACCGGGGCAAACATCCTGATTGTTGACTATAGAGGGTACGTAGAACTAGCTACAATGGTAGCTCGTGGAAGCCACAAAGGAAACAGGACCACAGGCGATGTTGTAGGTAGTAAGGAGAAGGCTGTACATTTATTTCTATGCCGTAGAATATGGTTATTTATAGGGTAAAACAATCATATAAATGTGATATTGCACTAGCGTCTGGTAACATAGTCATAATAATACAGGTAATATAATACTCTCTTTTATCTAGAGCAGCATTACATGTGCACTACAACAAAGTGGCCAGGCCGAGCATGAAGAAGCATGTGCCATTTCTTTTTTCCGTGTTCTTTGTTTGTCAGGTACGGAAAAAGTGAAGGCAGTCCCTCAGAAGAGGGCATTTATAAGGACGCAGATGCTGCTCTTACTTTTGCAAAACAGAACCAAACAGTTGGCAAAAATATATTCCTGTTTGGAAGAAGCCTTGGTGGAGCGGTGGCTATTGACCTGGCACACCGCAGAGGCAGCGAAGTATGCTACCCTTAAACATAACTTTTAGAGAAGGTTAAAGAGTCAAGAACACTTTGTAGATCTTTGCTTGACTAGGATTTTGCTGTGGCCCCATGAGTTTACCTTTTTATGTTGCCCCGTTGCTTTGCTTTCTTCCACTGGTATCTCATAAAGGCCTCAAATTGCTTGTTCTGTGCGCGGTGCGAGTATTTGTTTGTAGCTTTTTCGTCCGGTAACACATCTAGTGCAATTTTCGGGTATTCGCAGCTTGTTTCCCGTTTTGCCTAAAATTGTGTATGTGCAAAGGTAAAGGGCCTAATTTTGGAAAACACCTTCACTTCTCTCGAAGATGTCATCTACGACCTACTACCTGGCCTTCGGCACGTCAGGTGTGTCATTAGCGCTTTGCAGGTAAGGATTCTCAAGTTTTCTCCGCGCATATTCTAGTTACTTCGTATTTTGTGGCCTTTTTCCTCATGAATATGTGCATAAAGGACAAAGCAACGCATGACTATTCCTGCTTTCATATTGGTCCACGAACACATAAATCCAATTAAAGCTTCATATTGCTTCTGGTGCTTATCTCTCTTTCTGTGTGTGTCCTTTGAGCACAGCGTATGCATCTAGAGAGCGAGAAAAAGATGCGGGAAATCAATTTGCCCACCTTATTCATATCAGGAAGAAGCGATAAGCTAATAAACCCCCTGCAAATGGACAGACTCTACGAAGTAGGACTCCTTAGGAATATTACCGTACATCATCTCCTGTGCGCTAGATGTGATATTACTGCGCGTGCGTGAGGCCACTGAGTTTAATATGAGCGCTGACGTATCTGCATTCGCATTCGAATTTACATTGTTCACTATTAATCCAGAAAGAGATGTTATGCCGTCGAAGTAATACCAAGTGTTTATACAAAAATCCGCCTACAACCATTCAAAAGTGCACGTGTGCATACTTTCTGTTCCTATACGCATGTATGCGTGTACATTCATACGCACAGATGCATGCGTGTATATCCGCAATAATATGCCCAGGTATATGCGTGTATATCTGCAGTTTTCACCTCTACACATCTATCGTTAAGTTCAGGGTTTTTGTTTGACAAGCGCAAAAGTTTATCCTTTGTAATACAAGTCTATCGGGCATATTTCTTAGTCTCTTCAGATCTACCCGCATACATACAACCACGCATGCGTAAATAGACCACGGCTGCGTAGGCCCTTCCTGTTTGTGCGTGTGAGAATAGGCTTACAATGTCCCCCGACTTGTAGTTATCTGCTGTTCTGTCCTTCGATATTTCATGTATGTTCTTTATTTCTATCGGTTTATTCGTTGTTTGTCATGGGCTTGTTTTTCCATTAAATTTGTATACATTGTGCATATGATTTCAGGCCTGTGGCTCTCCGCTCAAAGAGAAAGTGGACATAGAGGAGGGAGGCCACAACGACACATGGATTGAGGGCGACGAGGCTTATTTCATGAAAATAAAAGATTTCATGGGTCGTGTGCTCCATCTTTCTGCAGAGCCGGACGGAAGTGAAAAAGGAAAAAAATTGCCTACAGGTGAGGACCAGCAAGCCAGTAGGATAATATTTTAAGGTTTCAGATTATGGAGAAGGAACACAAGTTGAAGAGAGACGATGGCCTAAGACATGGAACAAAGCATGGACAGGAAGGCCAGCTACTACCTAAGTTTAAGATAGAGACAAGCGGTTGTTACATACTGCATTTGAACAAACAATTAGCCACAACTCTTTACCAGTCGTGGTTCGCACATTCCAATGCGCGTCGATGATGAAGTGCATTGTGGGTGCAGTGTGTTTTCCTTGCTTTTTGTGAACCCATCAATCTATATTGCAATTGTGTACCCCTTGGATTTTGTTAACCCTATAGATATTTGTGTCCCTCGTGTGAGCTTTTCCTTGTTTATTTTAGGGAATGATCTGGAAATATACGCTATGAGGAAAAACCAGCAGCTCATATTGGAGAGTATCGTAGGGGCAGTTCTGCTGTATGCGCTTTTCCTGGCCCTCTCATCCGCCATAACGAGAGCTAAACTAGTGCACAGTAAACCCCAAAAAAAAATCAAGATGTATCCACCGTCAGATTGTCCCATGGAACTTCACGGGGAATGGTCTACAGATAATCAAGAAGAACAAGGAAATGCAGAAGAAACAAACATACATGCAAGAGGTCGTGGTAAAAGTCAAGAGGTAGTCGAGGTGCTGGCTGATCCAGCAGCCACTTCAGCTACTTAATCCCCTTAAACAGACAAAAGCAAAGATCGACAATCACAAAGGCAGTCTGCACAATAGTGCAAATGGCTAAAAAACGATCCACAAAGTAACCTTATCTTGGTTGAACTCAGCTGTACAATACACAAGGTAGATCTGCTGCCTCGTTCTCGTTGGGGATATGCCTATCGAGATTCTTCTTAAGTTCGCCTCCAGAAGTCTTGCTGTTGAAGAAAGCAAGCTTGCTGTGTATATGTTGATCCATATACACCGGGTGGCGCAGCCTGCTCTTTTTGAGTGACGGTGTCTCTGCTTTTCCTTTTCTGCGACACAAGTGTTTTTGCTGCATTTTCTTTCTGCGTGTTCGACTTTTTGTTTTTTGCAACCGGCCTCGTTTTGTGTGTGCTGATGTATGTACGTGCGTACATCATTGAGCGAAATTGTGGCCTGGAATGCACGTAGAACTTACACAGCCCACCATTTCGGAGATCTAGACAGGTCTCAATTCAAATGGATCAGTTTTAAAGAACATATGGTTCTATCTGTTACACTCTCATTACAGCACACACTCACCCCGTGCGCGTGCTAACTGAGAATTGGCGTTTATTCGACTGCATGGAGACTTGCAGGCTAGGTCTTGGTCTCTGCTGTCACGCTGCCTACGGAGCTTGGCTGTCCTTTCCCTCGCTTTTCCTTTCCTCTCAGTTGCTGGCATCGCCCTTATCTACCTCTATTGTGTCCTATCCTATCGCAGATGTTTCGGGTAGAAAGGGAATGAAATTGACACCTTCGTTCTGAAGAAAGGTCTCGTGCCTCCTATAATCTTAATAGTAGGCGCCGAAACCTTGCCTGCAAGACGCAGTCTGTCTACTCATACAGCTGTTACATCTTATAATATAGTGGACTTTTATGAAGTTTCGTCACAGAGGACAAAGCAGTCTTAGACAGGTCATTAACCGCTGTGGTAAACTCTGAACTCCGCACGTGCACCAGGGAGGTTAGTCAACCCTTCACTTATAGCCAATGCGGTAGCGTGCGACACGAAGTTCTCTACAGTTAAGGGATGAAAGGGCGTTGCATGCAGCATGCAGGTAGGATGCCTTCCGATTCGGCTGGGAGATGCTTAAACTCTGGGCCTGTTTAGAGAGACAAAGATGCACCTCGCGCATATGCAATATTACAGCAGCGTAGTAAATTACTGAAGGACCAAAATGTATCACGAAAACACACCAGTCGCTCTTGATGCTCCGTGATTTGCAGCAGCTAGCGGCGCTAGCATCGACAAGCAAAGTCATTGTGTGCTTACCTGGGTTGAATCGGAGCCTGGCACCCATATAGAGAGAGAAAGCAGGGTGGTAGTCCCCCTCACTTATCCCTTTAAAGCCTCCTGGCAATCTGAGTTCGGCATCAAAACGAAGGTTCTCCTCTGCTTTTTTCTGCAGTACGGTTAATCTACATTGTAGCTGACATACAAGGTGTACGTGCAACAATGCACCTGTACAGAGACCTTCAAGCGTTACATTATCAGTAAACGCTGCACACGTGTAAAAAAATTCACTCCTAAATCCCCTTTTCACAACTCTAGTTTTACATGATACAATGTTAGCCTTTGATGTAAAGTCTGCCGAGGCCTGTACTGCCAGAGATAATGAATGCAGAAAATACCGAGACATGGCCCCCAACAATGTGCCCCTGCACCGCCAGCATATATTACGTGCTATACAAATCCTCATGAAATGGCCTCTATTCATATTCGAAGAATAAACCTTAATAATTCACGCAAATCAGGAACACGCAGCAGACACTGGGACAATTAGGTGCTCCTACCTCCTCCCGTTGATTGAAAAGGCAATCCAAGATTCTTCAGGCTTGCTGCGCCGAGGCACTGGAGGGCTTTCAGGGGAGCACAAAATACCAGCTGCAGTGCACAAATCGAGGTGTAAACCCAACACAACACATACGGCTTCCCTCTGAGTTCTTTCTTTTCGTGGGTGAGATAAAGGTAGCTTCAAGGAGGATCTAGAAACAAACAGCGGCTTAGATACCAACACTTCGTCTAGGGCTGCAACAAGTCTTCAAAACATATGCCTACCTTGCAGGTACTCGTAAAGCTTGCTATCTTCACGCGGATCCGGAGGCCAGGAGACGGGCTCCGGGAGACAAATGTAGCACCCAATCACATCGCCCGAGGCTGAGTCGACACGAACACTAAAGCCTCTGCATTGAACTGGGGGGACTGTGACAGTGGAAGGCGTGTTTTGTCGGAGCTGCTTTACCGTGCGTCCAGACATGAGTCTACCCGCCTCCGGGGGATTACAAGTTCCACACAGTGCGTTGTGATTCAACACGGACTGATCTGAAAATTTTTCATCTCCGCATGCGCTAGTTGGGGGGCTTGTCTGTGTGCTCCGTGCAGGAGAGAACAAGAGCCGAAATCAGAGAGCGCGTAGGAAAAGAGGTTTGCTCCAATAGGCAAGTCGAATCGCTGGTACCGACAGGCCCAGCCAACTCTGCGAATGCACGGAAGCAAAGTCACAAAAATCTCAACTGAACCCGAATTCCCTCATTAAAAATACTGGCATTCATTTTCCGTCGGACTCGCCTGAAGTAGGGCTGCACTTTCGGTTGCAGATCGGCTGGATATCCAGCGAACTGCAGCCTTTCAAGCTGAGGCTCCAGAACCTCAGCCTCGAAGTAGAACCGGCCACTGTTGCACGCATGCGTTGCGAAGACGCTCGCCCACCCCTTCAAACGCATGCAGACACATCACACGTCTCATACCCCCAAACCACTGGAGAGGCTGCAGGGCACTACCCAACGGCATGCGTTGGTAACGCAAAACAGTCCTAACTCTGCCCCCCCAAAGCAACTGCCGCAGCAGATGAAACAGCGGCCGCAAGCGCTAGTTCAAAATCCATGAGAAAGCAGCAGCACCAACAAGGGGAGTGGAACAAAAGCAGAAAGGGCACCATCGTTACCTTGTACCCCTCGCACGTAAGCCTGTCTGCGGAAAGCTTGATTCTTCTATCCCGGTACCTCTCTGACAGAACGACAAAAGGCAAATCATCTGAGGGCAGACGTACGGGCAAAAGCAACACAAAAATTCCACCGTAAGGGCAACGACCCGGAAGACGCAGCAGCCGCCATGAAGAAAACTTGCTGAGCCACGTGGATTAAACTTCTCCACAGACACAACCGCCAATGCAAGAAGCGTCCAAGAGCCGCTTATCCTCATTCGGATCGCATCCAGTACCTGCAGGCCTTATTCTGCAGGCCTTATGGTGTCGCATACCTCTGGCAAGGGTGAGTGGAGGTAATTTGGCTTTTCTGATCGCCTCTTCGGCCTGAGATCGTTCTTTGGCCCCATGTGGAATTATGTCATGCGTCCCATGACGCCCATGCTGATCATGGGGATGCAGCTCCGCTGACATGACTGCAGCTGCGACTGGCCCTTTTCAAGAGGCAGCTGCAGTTCCTGCGCTGCGCCTTTCTTTTGGCTTCGTAATTGAGGGTACGTCACCTCCGCCGCTGCTGCCTTTGTGGTTGCTGATCCTTCTCGCTGTGCTGCACCTTTCGGATGGAGCCACTGCTTTCGCTGCTAAGTGGGCTTGGAATATAATTCGCCGCCTGGTGGGAAGAGAGTCTTAGATATTTTTATGGACTGGACCCTGGATATACAGCATATCTGTGCACAGGCTGCACGCATCACCGCTACAGCCTAAGAAGGGCTCACCAGCTTTCTGCTTGAAAAGGGCCCCTAGGATTTCTGCAGCAGGCGCTCCTTAGACTCCACGGCAACAGGCAAAGGTGGGTGTGGAAGGAGGCCATCGCCACAACGTTCATTAGGGTTCTACGATGATGCCACCCGAAACAGCTGCTACTAGAGCTGCTGCATGCGCGTATTAGTCCCTTGACATATATGAAGACCCCTTTCTCGTTCCTTGCTGCCGTCCCGGAGCAAACACCCCTCTAACTGTGTATGCGAACCGATGGGCACCCTGCCGTCAGCAGCGCAGTTCTCAGAAGCCTCCCCGTCAGGGTTCCTCGAAACGCTAAGTTGAATCACAAGAGTCCAACATAAAGAACCCTGTGGAGCCATCAACCCGCCTGAATTCCCTGCAGCCTTTGGTTCAGCCGTGTAGGGCCCCTGGGTACTTCGCTCCATGTCGGGGGGGCCCCCCGACATGTTCCCTCTCCCTCTTCATGAAGCCATCGCTGGCACAGAAGTTGATGGACGACCAAGAAAGCAAACTCGGTATAATTTAATGATTCTTATCCACTACTGCATGGCGCAGGTCCTCGGCGTACCACTGTGTTCCCTGCGCATGCTCTGCGCTGCCGAGCAAAGTGTTCACGATCACACGAAAGGAATCCAACGTAGGCTTTGCGGCTAAGTTTCTGGAAGATGGAGGAGTGGAGGGGCTACACGGCTGAGGACCGCAGTGACTCCTCGCCGTCCTCTTCGATTGACGGATCATCCGATGTCATGTCCTACACACAGAAAGCCAATGCAGCAGACTACCTCTTTTTCTCCCAGCCTCAGCAGCAGCAAGCCCAGCAGCAGCAGGTGCTGGTGCAGCAGTATGCGCAGCAACAAACCCACAACCCCCAACAGCAGCCCGCTGAGCAACCGCACCCAGGTAGGGGTTTTACCTACCCCAGCTGCTACTCCAGCTAGGCTGCCAGAGACCTTTCCGCCGCTTTTCCGGCTAGCCGCCTAATCTGTGTGTCTTCTGCATGAATGCTGTTTGGCTATGGGCAGAGCAGGGGCTGGCAGAGCAACAGCAGGCCCTGCAGATGGCAGACTACGTTGAAAGGGAACAGCAGCGGGAACGAGAGGTTGCACGAAAGTAAGCGTATGGCCAGACGTTTTCACCCTGAAATATTATTGAGTATATCGAAGGCTTGAGTGGCTTCAGAGTCAGCAGAATACGGGTGGGATGGGCGGTCAAGCACATAGGGCATCTCTAGAGCATGGAGGGTCTCTATGGTTTTCGACTTCTTGGATAGAAGGGTCGACAGTGCAGCGTTCAGAATTCACCGCCTGCTAGAAATTGTTGAACGGTGTCTGTGGCAGTGCGGTTGAGGGCGCTAACAGACAGCCCACCGTCGCATTCAGATGTATGATGCAACTAGCCCTGAGTTTCCAGCCTTGTCAAGCCTGTATTGCAAGTAGCAACACCGTCCTCCCTACGCGTGCCTGCATGCCCTAGTTCTTTTCCTGAGACTCCGTTTGGGTGTACAGACAGCAAACTGCGCTGCGCCGCGGTCTCTTTTCCGTAACGGAGCTAGAGGACTGGATGGGGGAGGACTGCCCGCAACTGGACCGGCAATGCTTGATTCGCTTCCCACTAGAAGTTGCAGAAACTCTGCGTCAGCGATTGCACAATGCTGCCGCTGCTGCTGCTGCCGCTGCTGCAGAAGGTGCAGAGCTACCCGAACCAGGAGCGGCAGCACTCGGGCTAACCATTGTGCCAAGACCAGACTACAATTACAGGGCGTTTGATGTTAAAGTCTGTCTACACATGCCCGCTTACATACACTGCGCAGAACGAGCGCTGGCTGGAATGGATACGCCTGAGCCAGCTGTCTGCTTCTCGAACGCTCTGTTTATTAGCTAGCGACTGTGACCTCTTGAGGCAGGCTCCGTATAGAGAGAGCCACTGGCTAGCTGGGGCTAACGGGAGATAGCAGCCGTCTGATATGCACAACTTCTGGCTGGAGGGCACTTCGTATCAGAGATTGAGGCTGCTTGTGTAACTACGCAGGTTTCAGGTTACCGAGGTCGGTTGCGGGGCATCTTGGTTGAGTTGCCTACGTTGATAGAAACCTATAAATCTGTGGACTCTGATATCCTCTTCAAATCGGGTGATTCTATGCCTTCCGGTCCTTCTAGCATGTCTGATCGATAGTATATATATGTATATATATATTTATATAAATGATGGGCGTCTATCGATATTCTCGGTTCAACTTTCGCTTGCTGGTCGTTCTTCCATTGTTCTTTCTGCCTTGAACGCATTCCTCCCTTAATGCGTGCATGTGTGCATCTTCTCTGGCCCTCATGTTTGTAGGTGATGTGTGCCAGATGCTGTACGTCTTCGATCCGCAAGTTAGCAATATGGACTTGAGCAGTCTGTGTGACAAGCAGCAATGGGAGTGGCGGGCGGGCCTCACTCCACCGACGCATCGGATCAGGAGCAGAAAGTTCAAGAACATAGATTTGTTTGATCGAGAGGAGATAAGAGATGCGGAACTGGAAGTGCTGCAGGTGCGTGAGCGAGGGAACGCAACGTTTTGTAGTCTGGTGGTAAGACATGCGCGGTGTCGGCGGGTGTGCCGTCATGACCGCAAAGCGACGAAATTCGTCAAGACGTGTATATGTTGCTCAATGTAAAAAGCAGAAGACATGGGGCTTTTTTTCAAATTGCATAACTCCCTTCCGCATGAATGTATGTGCAACGGCTGTTGTTTATCTTCTCGACTGCTTGTGTCATTGCATGTCCATCTTGTTTGCAGCTGCTGCATGGCCTGCGTCGTGACACTTATGAGATAGAAGTCCATACTGAATTGGATATGCTAGAAGCTCGAAATAAAGAGCAGGAACAACCGTCCCAGCCGCAGTCACAGGGAAAAGGGTCGTCTTCGGAAGCTCCGAAAGTGGAACGTGTGGTTCTCATGACTGAAGATGTGACAGCGTTGCTACAGCTGGTAGACCAGGATGACGAATACCTTTCAGACGCCTCCGATATTCTTTTTTCCATTCAAGCAGAGGGTGCATCTCTCTCTGGGGCTGGTATGTACCTGCACACCCTCGAATATCTGCCTGCACTGTACAGACCCCTGTGCTGCCTCTTTTGATCACTCTTCACCCCGATTATCCCTTCTTTCTCCCATTCGGTAGTGCAGAGACAGCGCCAGCCGCCACTGATGCGTACTCTGTAGCTGCTTTTGTTGGCCATTGCAGACGCAATCGCTCGACCCAGAAGAGGCAGGGGGGCTGCCACGGGGGCCCCTGGGGGCCTCTCGCGAAATGCCTCAAGTGGGGGCTTAGATAGGCAGGATGTGGAGGCGTCTCAAGTGGGTCTTATGGCTTCACGAGCACAACTACAGCTGCAAATGGGGCAGCAGCAGCAGCAGTTGCTGGTGCAGCAGCAGCTAGGGCAGCAGCCACTTCTGCTGCCGCAAGGGATGCCAGACGTTGTGCACCCTGTTGGAGGCATGAACGAAGCAGAGGAGAGAGAGCGCCTGCGCCTTCGGAAGGAAAAGAGGCGGCAGAAGAAGGATAGGAAGCGAGCTCGCAGGGAGCACAGACTACAGCAGCAGCTGATGCAGCAGACTGGCATCGCTCCCGATCCTACAAGTGGTCCCTGTGATCCGGAGGGAACTGTCATGGCCCCCGGATCAGCGGAACTAACCCATGGAGGAACTCAAGGTAGCATCGGACAGGGTGTGGGAGGACTGGAAGGCAATGAAGACGATTACGACGGTCTCAGTTCGATAGCCAGTGCAGACGGGCAGTGACCAGAGCTGGGTGGGCAAGTACCATCGCAGTGGGTAATGATTTCCTGTTTTTTCTGATACAAAGAAGCTTTATTTAAAAGGAAACGCAACGCGAAACTTCTTACTGTGTTGTCGCATCTTTCCCATCGCAAGATGAGGCATTGTTTCCAATCCTGAGACTTCACTTAGCTACATGAGCGCGTAAACAGCTTGCGGAGCGATGTTCTGGCTCCTTTTAGTGTACAGCACAGGTAATTTTTCTGTCTCGAGCTAGCGGCCACCCAAAACAGTTTGGGTTACTCGAACTGTGTCTAGACAATTCAGGAATTTCAGTGCTTTGCTTTAGGTCGTCAGCTTTTAAGGTCTAATATACCGGACGAGTGCACTTCTCATAATAAAAGATATTCCGCAGAGGGATCTGCTGTATTCGCAGTAGCGGGCGTAACTCTGTCTCCTCTGAGATCGCTCTTGCCATTAGAATTTGCCGATCGCTTTCAGTTGAAGCATTCAAAGTTCCAACGTGATCACATGCCTGAAATATATATATATATATAGATGGTTCTTGCTATGCTTCCGTGTTTCTTGGAGAATCTGACAACAGAAACAGGAGGTCGCGGGAAGTAGAAGCAGTGAAATCTAATGTAGTACTGCTCTTGCCTCCAGTGTTGTTCATTTCATGTGAATTTTGTGTGAGCTAGTAAACTATCAGCTTTCAGGGGCTTGCTTTACTGAGTACGCACCCTCCTCTATAGTTTCGCCCGTTGTGTGCTCGGTTTCGAGCGACAAGGCTGCCCACTGGTGGGGGTCAAACCTTCTCAGCATTCCCTGCGTTTCGTCCCCTGCACACATAGAGACAGACCAGTGAAGCCAATTTTCAGTACCCAGCCCTTCTGGAGCTGATCCAGCTCTCTTAAATGCCTTTTCTGTGTTAATTTCGGGCGCGACAGGAGTAATACGTTGCGGCCTTCCAGCAATAGCGGCGAGCCCTGTGTGCACATAGTCGCTCCCTTCTGCCCATGTCTGCAAATCTGAGTCTTTGGGGGCTGCACTCGGTACTGAACTGGCAGGTTGTATTTCCATGCCATCTCTTCAGACCCTCTTATTCATTGACGCCCTCTTTTGAGCTGAAGCTCTACATGTAAGCCAGGACGGCTGCTAAATTACCTGGAGGCATCAGGACGCATAGGTCCTGTACGAGCTTTTGCTGGGTGTTTGCATGCGAGCGGAGAGCATTAACAAGTGACAGTCCATTTAGAGGTAGGGACAAATTCCACTGGGCTAAAATTCTGTCGAACATCATTCCTGGCCGAGTTACTTGCTGTATAAACTCCGCATAACGAAGTGCAGCACAGAGACCTGCGACAGCTTCATCAAACTTTAGTTTCTTGTGGGCAGAGGCCGCCCAAAAGGCCAGCCCTCGATCTTGGGGCAACCAATTCATCAAACCCCCTGCCATAGAGGTGGGAGGCAGCGTGCGGCCGCCAATTCTGGCTGGAGAGCCGAATATTGATGCCAGCTGCGCAGCTGCAATAATAGAGAACACAGGGAGATGCACACAGGTAGAGCTTTAGTGGCACATGCTACGCCGAGCCCTTGGCTCGGCAAGAAATAGAGTTGGAGCACTATGTTATGACTCTCAAGGCTTACCAATTTTAGTACATAATTTGAAGAATCCTGCGTCAAATTGCGGACCAGCAAGCACACATTCAAACCACTCTCATGTTTTACCTGGCATGTATTTTTGTATACCGTCAAAGGCTAATATTATGATACGTCATTCTTTTGTTTGAAAAATTTAACTAAGCATGCTTGTACAGTAGGTTACAACTATACGTAGGGAAATGTCTTAGTTACGTATGTCCTTAGATGCAGTCTTTGACAGCCCTCCGAGTGCCAGAAGCAATGGAGACCTTGTTTCCTGGTTTTTTTTTAGAACGGCTGCCATGGCATGTTGTAAGGAGCGTCCTAAAACCTCGGCTGACGCGCACGCCTCCACGGCCTTAGCCTTGTTTTCCCCCGCCGATTCCAGAAGCTTGTGTACAGCCCCAAGCAAACGGTGGGAGATGGTGGGTACTGGCAAATTAAGCTGAATGCTCTTTGTAAGAGGAGACGCGGCTGCATGAGGCATACATAAATGGTAAAGAAGCGGCACACAGACGCAAAGACACATGAACGGTGTCTACAAATGCTCATTTTTCCCCTTTAGACCGAAGGAGTGGTTCACCTCATTTGCACTTCTTTTCCAAACCAGCCCAAATCCGAGTTGCTACATTCTGTTCCAATATGCGCGTGGATTGTAGAAGCTGTTCCACCTCATATGACATACTCATTTAGGATGTAGGAGGTGCGTAGGTTTCTGCTAGCAGCAAGAGCGGCAACAAACGCCTGCCTAGTGTTCCCTTACCTTATCAATAAGGTATTTGAAGGAGAGAACTAAGGGATAAGAGGCAATAGCTCACGGGTTTCGAACGACAGGGGGACACCACCTTCAACCTCTTTTGCTAAATTAGAAAGATAACGCAGACACCGCAAAATACAATGGCGGCACATGTGCATCAACAAGCCATTAAGCTTGCGCAGTATCAGTGTTTCTTCTTTGGAGGCAAATCAGACCGGAAAGTTCATCAAATCGTTTTTGCTGCTGCCGGTTCATACTGCTAGGCATTATGCATTTTTGTTTATTAATCTGATGCTTAGTAATTAAATCTAGTCAGCCAGCCTTTAAGTCACACCCCAGTGAGTATTTTTATATATAGCATCGCAAGCCTCTTTGCTTCTTTCAATAGAGGCACTCAGTTGAGCTCTCGCTTCGCCTGTTGCGAGCTGCATGGTGGGGATGTGCTTTGCTGCGAAGTACATCAAGCATACTGTAACCAAGGTATTGAAGCGTAGCTTCTAGAAGAACGCTGATGGCGATTCGGTATTACTGAAATCCGCTTCTGGCAGGGAATTCCGCCTCACCACAAGTAATGCACAACGCAAGTCTAAACGTTTGCAGGGATATGTCTCCATCTTTAATGCGAAGTTGAGAACGTGTGTGTTTGAACAACGGAATGGCCACCGCCTGTTCATGCAATGCTTCCACGTCCTTGATTTGGGATCCCTCAATGTAACGCTCATAGAGTTGTACTAACTTCAGACAGTCTGCAGTGACAGAGTCATCATGACCACCCACATGTTTTAGAGGCTCCTTAACGAATATGAAAGCTTTGCATTGGGCCAGAGAAAGCCTGTGTTAGAGGCGGGAGATCACGCATAGGAAGAGGCAAATAAAAAGGCACAGTGCAATGCAATTTGAACACAAAACGCAGGGCCACTGTGTGTGCGATGCTACCATCATCCTTTGCGTCAACCTTTGGGAGCTCCTCATGCACTGGCGGAAGTGGGACGGTGACCTCTTCCGGATCGATTGTGCCAACGCCCTCTGTGTTGACTACTTTCTCCTTGTCCGCTTTTCCAGAAGCGGATTCGCCTTGACCGGGCTCTGGCTCTTCGGCCTTCGATGAGGAATATTCATCCTCAGGAAGAACAGTTGTGTCACTTTTTTGTAAAGGCGGTGGGATAAGGTCTTCTGTAGGAACCACCGGCTCCTTCCTAGGAGAAGTGATGACAGGAAGGGGCACCACCTGCCTCGTGGGACGCTGGCAACGCAGCGGAGGAAAAGCGGGTACTTGCCATCCAAAAACACTGGCAGCCAAACTCTCGCCAGCTGTTGCAGGGAAAGTGTAAGGCTTGCTCTGCGTCTCTGCTGCATAAAACGAATACACTCACAGATTGATTTATAATGCATACGATTCGGACAAGAACGTAGAACCTCGCCATTGGTATTTCAGGCACTTATAATACATAACGCAAATACCCCTCGACCAAAGAGACGCACAGAAGCGCGGCACCTGCACAGGCTACTTCTAGCACAGCATACATAAGCTCATAGATTTTTTGATGCTTTATGCTACTTGAATGGCGAGTAGCACGCGGAAAGTCAATACTGCAGCACTCCAAAAATCTTACCAGATAGGAGAAGTGACATCCCATGCTCGCCTTCCGTCCGCAATCCGCATTCCCCTGCACACTTGCCTAAAGCTTTAACTACCCACTCTTCCGTCTCTACTACTGCATCTATGAAATGCCTGACATTCATCGTATCGCGTAACTCTTTGGCTGAGAGATTGCCGGCGACTTGTTGCATATACAGTAACAACTCCAACGCTTTGACCCCCGAATGGGAGAACGAAGTCGCTGCGTTACTCGGAAGATATAGGGGCGAGCGGATTACTGCGTCTGGGTACAAACTGCCTGTTGATGTGTACGTCACCATCACCTCCTGGAGGACAGGTCGGGTGAGAGCAACTGCAAAGATCACTCATTACATCAAGGCGACCTGCCAGAAACATGTAACTCTATCTGAATTAGTATATCTTTATAAACAATGTTGGCACTTATAAACAATGTTCAGACCTCCACTGAGGTTTCCATGACTGCTGCAATCGCTATAAGCGCTTGATTTGGGCTCACCAGGCGGAACAGCTACCTTTCGATCAAGAATTTCCGGTTCCCTACTCGTCTCTTCAATAAAGTTGTCCAACTCTGCTAAGGTAAGAAACATATCGCCAAGGGAGGGGACAAGCTCAGAGATAATTTTGGTGTCTTCCGGCTTGCACTGGGCATACGAGGGGTCCCTCGCCACCGCCAAGTTGAAGGCTTTGCTGATGCTGACTTGGTTCTGTTGTTGACCCTCGGCGTGCGCCAGCACTTGAGCGGTGGGAATTTGCAAGTTTTGATGTAGTGGCTCGCGTAGCTTCACCAGCCAATTTAGGAAAGCAGCTAGCGTAGGCTTTTTTGAAGTTCCGACGAACATTTCATACAAGTAGTGCAGCATGTCCAACTTTATGGAATAACGATTGTACGAGTCCCTTCCGTGCATATCTTTACCGCAGCTGACTGTAGCACAAAAAGACAAAGCATGCTTACAATGGACTCGACTGCCACTATCTTGCGCTTCTTAAGCACAGGGTCCTTAGCTGACTGTCCCTTTCCCGCTCGCACGCATGTTAAACCAATTGACATAGGAGAGCTTGAATAGGACACCCTGGAAATGACAACGGCTACGGACTGAGCATTTGTATGGCGGCAAGCCACTTGCAGCCCCTGATGTCTATTGCATCCCTCATGTGCCCAGGCTCACTGTAATCGAGATGGCTGTACATCAGATAGACCTGGTGCTTCCAGGCCTGGTCATTTTCTCCTAGTAGCTGCAGCAGCTCACTGCAGCCCTTCGGTGCATTTCCCTGTGCAAGCCAATCCGATAAGTATATTCCCCACGTGCCCTTCCACGCTTGCTTCTGGAACTCGTTTGCAGGATCTGCACATTTATTAAGGGGCTGATTTTTCTTTGCCGAATCGGTACACTGGGTTTGCACTCGAGTGTCAGCTAACAGGGGCTTGACACAGTGCTGAAGGCAGTCTGAGATATTAAAAAATGACAGACACACCCCCAGAGGTAAAAGTGCGTTTGGGAACTTTATTATACAGATGCTCCAAAGGATATACCATAGTGCCATATCAAGCAATTATTGGAGCTAACGTAATTCGTCTTATAGTGTGGAGTGGACTATAAGCAACAAATAAGGCCAGGGCTCCTAATATGGGATGATTTGTTAAGGTGTGCATGCGAAAATGATTTGGAGATGCTGCACAGCACCCACCATAAGCAGCATCTACGACGTACGACGGGGGTAACTCCCTGCGAAAATCAGTGTATGTCTTTTCAAGCCATGTCTTGACTCGTGTGTTTGTGGCTTGTTGCAGTCCACTAAAGGCTTGTCCCATAGTTATCCGTTTCGCAAATATCTCTGCGCAGGATACCAGGTGGCGGCAAACCAGGCCGTGCTTCCACTAAGAGCTTTATGGCATTCCTCCTCCTGCTTTCTACTGATAAATCCTGCAGGAGATTGTGATTTGCTCTGTACTGCAGTGACCGCTTGTAGACTTATGTCAGCTGGTGGTGCCTCTCTGCGAAAGGTGTGATATTCGTCCTCTTACTCTGTATTTCCTTGTAAACTGCTTTTGCTAGTACAAGGATGTCCTTTGAAACTGATTTTTGAGTGGTATCAGTCCCTTCGTGCCGTTTCTGCCCAAGTTTGGCAGCAAGGTGGCTTGTAACATATGCCCGTAACTCCTTGCTGGTTTTTATGCTTTGGCTGGAGTCTTCTTCTGGGTTGTCAAGAAGTGACTGAGTGAAAATGTAGATTTGATGAGCCTGAGCCCGCACGAAGGCTTCACACAAGGGGGTGAACACAAGAGGACACCTAAAAATGGCGCCTACTCCCTTTCATTTCAGTAGACTCGAATGAGCGCATCCACGATATTCAGCCTTTTATTAGAATACAATTAAAGGGTACAAAAAACCAAAAATGTCAATGCGTATTTAGCGGGTCTCAAAAGTTTCTTTGCGCCACAGATGTGAGAACCTACTAGATTCTACTGCCCGAACTGAGAGTCCTGTCTTTCCAGCTGTGATTCCATAGACTTCAAGCAAAGCTGCGTTCCCTATTATAGCATTTAAGTGCGGAGAGAGTATTTGCATGACTAGAAAAGTTTTCATAGCATCATCTCTTCCTGATGCCCGAGGACCAGAGCCTATATACGCACGCATGGCACCCCGTGATAATTGGCCCACAAAACGTGAACTCTACGCCACAATATCCAAATGCTTATAGCACTCACAATTTCTTTTCTGTCTGGAAGCAATTTGCTCTTGAACGAGAGGGCCATAAAGAGAGAGTTCCCCGTCATCAAAGAATGTGAATCCAGTGGGAAGTATATTGTCATCGAGTGCAGACACAAACTGCTCCAATGACTCTGCCAACGAATTAGAGCTAGAATCTTGTGCTCCATATGAAGCCACCAAAGCTCCGTGAGAAGCGAGAGCGAACTTGCGTATGGTGTCAGCCATTTGTGCTGCCGCTGACTTGAAATGTGTCAAAGCAACAGTGAACGGGGGGCCTTCTGGCAGGAGATCAGGATTTTCTGCGAAGTGTGCTAACACGTGCAGGCGCTGCTTAAGTACATCCCGATGAGACGTCCATGCAACACTTTCAATGCTCTCGGAAATGCAGCTAATATACGCATTGCTCCTCTTATTGCAATTCCTGTCTTTTCCACACGACATGTTTATCATCTTTGCTGCCCGACGAATAACGGCAAGCCCCACTGGTACAAAAAGCAACACGGCGCACGCAGGACAGTTCTGGCAATGCAGTTTATCAGATAGTACATTTCATCCTTTCCTTTGGAAGAATTAAACAAGTAGGTATTATTCCCTTGACCTCATAGGGTTCCTGCACCTCCTAATTGCATTTTATAGTATCCGTACGTTGTGTTCCAGTGTGCTTCAGTGATTGATAATTGTCTTCAAAACCTGCAGGAGGGTGAACTGCGTTTAAGGAGAATAGCAGAGGGGCGTTCTCAAGAGCGATGGAAGCCAACAGTGCTGGATCTGAACGAACCCACATTGACAGGACGTAAACAGACAGCAACGTATTGCGGGTTGTCTCAACCGATGCGCTAAATTTTCATTGAAATATCACAGAGTACATTTTGCTTATGCTGGTGTACGAAATCAATTACAAGTTCCAAAGTAGCACATAAAATTGCCTACAGGACCTGCCCACTTCCTGTGAATAATCCTACTGGTAGCGGTTGCTTCTGTCGCTCTCAAAGCCTCCAAATGGCTATTGACTATTTCCGCTGCGGGGAGGCTGCAAAGCTTGAAAGACTTTGCAATGAGCTGGTGGAACAAGGAAAAGGCTGTGGTATCCGCATGCGTGAGTTGAAGTAGTTGAGCTGCATCGGCCGTGCCTAGTTTGGCGCCTTGGAGGATGGACTCAAGGACTAAAAGAGATGCTGAGCGACAAAATTGATTCACACAGCAATCAGGGCTAGGTGGTACACGCGGGAAAGCCTAAGGAGATAAAATAATAAACCGTTGGAAGAGGTGTCGGCGGACGGACTTGCAAAAACTTCGGCCGAGAGTCTATCTTCCAGCTTCAGGCGGGTACCCTGGAAGAAGTGGTGCAAGACAGACGTTTCCCTGATCCCAGGGTTTATCTCAATGCATTCAAGGACAGCCTTATGGTATCCTTTGTTCCCAATACCAAGGCATTCTCGTTTAGCCACACAGGTAGCAAGATTCAGGACGTCTTTGCTCTGCATATCCAGCGCCTGCTTCTCTGCGCCTGCGGAGGAAGAGTCTTCTCTTTGGGGGTTTAACAAGAGACCTGCAAGAGACAAGACCAAGGAGTTCTAAATCAATCTTGATCTCATGCCGATTCGGTCATGTAACGTGTCACACTAAACTCGCAAACGTGGAATGTGTTGGCAACCGCATTGACACGCGGGCTGCGCACAGAAAAAACACGGTTCGCAAAATGTAAAGAAAGTGCTATCCTGCAAAGCCACCTCTCAGGAGACTCAAGCAGCGCTTTCATTTTTTAATCGTACGAAAATCCCAGCATTATACGTTGGGCCAGACGAAATGCCGATGCCAGTTTGTAGTATTTAACAAATCGCCTCCACTGTAACCTCTGGAAACCCTTTTGTAGTTGTAATTGAGCGCGAATTCCTGCTTGAAGCAGCTGTTTTGTCTCCGAATCTGTCTGCTTCATCTTTGTCTTAGCTAATGCCAAATCCACGACTTGATCTGTAGCCAGATTCCTACCCTTTGTGATGGTAGCATAAGCGGCTGCATCCTCACCCATATGGTGAATGGCTGCAGCTGCAGGTAACGAGCAGCAAAAGTCACAAAGAGGCTGCTACTCCTATCGTGATTCACTGTTTATTGCACGCACCGTATAGTTGTCCACCACAATTAAAAACACACGGGAATGTCGGTAATGAGGTAAGAGCACGATACCGCATCCAGAACGACTTGCTGGACTCTTAGACCGGATCGACCAGTGCAATATTTCCGCCTACCACATAGGGAAGCCTCAAGAAGTTGTGTGGGGCTGCGAGCCTCTTTAGAGAGAGGAATATCCAGCCCCTTCAGGGCGCAAGTAAGACTCAGGCCAGAAGGGCAAACAAGGATGGTTGTTGTACCAAAAATACCATGAATTCCTTGAAGACCTCCATTTTCAACGGGGAAGCACGCTGCCGCATACGACACAGATAGGGATACAAAGAATTGAAGGCCACAGAGCATAAGCAGGAGAAGCGGGAGAAGTCAAGCACCATGACCTACATGCGCAGCTAGTCGCACATATGTTGCAAACCAAACCCGAAATGGCTCACACAAACTAACCAACGTTCAGAAGGCGACAGTTCTTACGAAGACTAACTTGTCAGATGCCACAGGAGGATACTGCGTAGTTCCTTAGGCATTTCTTTTCCTGTATCCCGAAGTTTTGTAAAGGCTTCTTCAACAAACTTTTCGGCTGCGTCCCGAGAAAGTGCCTCCCTCTCCGCATTCCTCATCAGTTGAGGCCACAGAAGAGTCAAAGCGTGGTTCATCATTGAAATCACTGAGACGTACCAAATAGTATACAGAACCCCATTCCAGGGATTATTTTTTTTTTTACGGATTTACTTTCCGAACCGCGCTTGCCCCCAAGGACACCGATTTCCTCGTAGTGACTATCTCCCTGTCCCGATGTTTACGGCGGTGCTGTCTTACAGTGGGCTTCAATGACTGGGTGTGCTGAAACCTCATCCCCGTCTATCGGAATTGCATGGATAGCAAGGATAGAGCGGCCTGGGGCAAGAATAGCGGCTAAAACAAACGCGAGCCTCAGCCTCATGGAGCGACGGCACTGGACGGAGCTGTCGACAAGCCACAGCTTTTCCCCTTGCTTGATTCGCCCCATCATCACAAGATCCTTAAATTATAAAGGCGCAATCAAAGCACTACAAAACCAAACGCATGTGCTAATGCTGTTTTTTCAAGTGTGAGGCAGCATGATACCTTCGTGGGGCCACGGCCTCACTACTGACGCCTTGTAGACAGGCCTATGCGGACGTAAGCGAAGGACTGGCCCAAAATAGGAGGCACTGTAAATAAACCTTCAAGCACATTTTGTTTTCTTTCGAAAACCTTTTGACGGCTTAGTACCTGCAGAACTGACCCCTCCTCCCCTATTTATTATTCCAAGTGACCCAAGTGCCGATTGACCCACAGACCTAGGTGCTCACTTCACTCCTGTTTACCGTAACTTATGAGGGAGTATATCACGAAAAACTCTACTTATACATTATTAATGCTACTTGATAAGCTACAAGGCTTTTAATCGAGCCAATGAATCCAATACTCCATTTGTTCCCTGAGCAGTTATGTAACTGCAGCATATTCCGCCCAACGCTGGCGCATACATTTTGTCCTTGTATTCACTTACTCCCTTTCCCTTCCCCTGGACATCTTTTTCTCTCTGGGTTTACTATTTTGTTCTGAGAAAATGGTTTTTTTCGTCGTCTTCAGCCGCAGTGCACAGGGATTCCCCACCCTGCTCAATGCATGAGCCCAGACTGGCCAAGAACCACGTTGCACGGTGCAGACGATTCAAGGAATTACAACGGAGGGTAGAGCGCCTAAGCAAGCTGCCCTGTCTTGTGTCTCCTACATGGCTGGAGTGCGTCAAAGACGGCGTTGCCCCTTTAGTGGAGCTGTAGCTTGTTACCGGTGATTCCTATTGCTTTCTTCGACACGCTTCAATTCACTGGGAATAAAGTAATGATGGCAACTCAGGCAGCTAATTCTGTATTGCCACGCTCTGCCTTGCGGACTATAAATGCACTCCAATTGGACCACGACCGTCTGTCAGAGACCTCCAAGAATGACTACTCATTTCGTTCCAATTCAGCGGATCATATTGCGTTATTTAGTGACCATATACTCATCAGACGGTCTGCCATGGGTCTACAGGGGGGCGGGATGCATTGTAAGCACCTAAAAGTCTCCTTGCTGGGCACCCATCACAAAGTCACTCTGGCCTTATTCTGCAAGCTACTCACAGGGCAAAGTCCTCCACTGGAGGTCCTGCGAGAGCCAGTTGGCGTGGAATGGGGTCTGCGCCGCTTGAATCAGCAGTGAGACACAGCATTTCTAATCGAATTTATATTGCTGGACCCGTCTTTAGCTGCTGCATACAGGTGGCACATTCTGTGAAATCCCTCAGTCAGTAATGCGCGCTTTAGCCTGCAAAGGCAGTAACACTACAGAATGTCATATTTACGCTTGAGCACAATCGGATGATTTTTATTTTGCAGAGGCACTGACATTCGCATGACGGTGTGGGCTCTCAGCGTTGCCGAGGCCTTTTCTGAGCTGAGAGTGGAGCTCTGTAGGGAGAGTCACGCACTGCTTCTTATTGTCGATGCCGGGATTGAGGGAAGCACACCTGTATCAGAACAGCTTCAGCAGCTGCAGGTACTGCGAGACTCTTGTGTGAAGGCCTTGCAACCGAACCGTCAGCCGGAAGTATTGCTTGTGGCAGCAGTAAGTCTCGCGACACTTTCAATTTCTCCCGTAACTTTAACACTACCGTATCGATTCTAGTGGCAAAACTATGAGTGCGGTTCGACCAACAAATTTCAAACAGACCCTCTGATGAGCTACTGTACATGACGTGAAATAAGGTTCAAGCCTGCGTACAGCTGGTGTGTGTTTTATTTTTAAGGGAGGCGATGGGCCTGCATGGGCTAAAGCCGCCATAGCGTGTCGGAGATTCGCTAGCACTCATCGCTGCCGATTCCTCGAAGTGCAACCGGTCAGCACTGCTGGTACTGAGTCTCTTCTGCGTTTGCTGAGCGCAAGCAATTCTGCCATTGCGGATCCCAAAGCTGGTATATTTTAAACAGCAAAAGGCAGAAGAACAAGGCAAACGAGCTTGGGCAGCAATAAAATTCGCAGCAGAATCACAAGTGCCAAACACAAGAAGGAAAAACTTGCTATCTCATTGTTTATTCAGTAAGCGTGTGCATCCTGTTTTGTTTTCTGATGCAAGCAAGTATATCTACGGGAAAGAGAGGTCAAATTTCTTGTATGTGTAATACTGGAGTTCTCTCTAAGGTGGACTTACCTAAGAAATAACTCTACTACCCACAGCGTTCCATTAAGCGTCTAGTAGGCTTTAGGAATGTCATTTTCTTAGACGTTTATGTAGGCAAGAGCTTAGTTCTGTTCGTAGGATAACTGTGCTCTGCCAAGGATCCAAACGCAAAAACACGCAGAGGCACACGACCAACTGCACAGACGGGTGCAGGCTGATGCGAGCATGTCACAGGCATGCAGTTCCTATTCAGGCTTAATTCCGGTATGGAAGGCATTCTGAAACAGTGACGCTGTAGCTGCAACTGGTTTCTTGTGCTTAAATCCTGCAGTGCTCCCTCTGGGGACTTCGCAGGGAGAGATTTAGTTGCCGAATCAATAAAAACGTCAGGGATACTAATTGAGTGTTTTTCCAAAAATGCCCTTTCCTCTTCCTGCCCGCGTCCCACAAGGTTCCGACGGGAGGGGAAAGGGACAGTTCAGGTGCTGGTTTCTTCACCTCCTTAACATTCAGCACTTTATCCATCGCTAGTATTTGCATATAGGACCCAGCAGGGGTGTAGAGCATTGCAGTTTATTACCAAATGCGCTAGCAATACTGTGCAATAAATAACAAATACAAATAGCCAAACAGCGTTGACAATTGTCGAATTATACTCAATTAAACACAATTAGTGTAGACGAAACTGCCGAAGTGCAGCATAGCCCTCCACAAAGCCTATCTGCTTTTTGTCCACTACTCCTGTGGGCACACCTCAGATTAAAATTATGTATCATTCTTGAGTGCTGCTGGTAAAGATGTTTTAGTTTGCACAACCCAATTTAGGCGTTGACGGTTTCGACATAAGTACACGAAGATACAATGCCGCTTTGCAGGATGTCCATATAATGGGCTGCAGTTAACCGCAAGCTAGTACTGAAGCAACGACCGTGCCATTACACGGAAGAGTTGAATGGACCGCCGTATACGCGTTGCAATACAGGCAGAGAAAAAGTAAACTCGGGCTAGTATATAGCAGAACACGCTTTCTCAAGAAGAGCTATAGAGATCAACTTGTCGCCACTTTACTTCAGTTTTTGTGCTGACCTACCTTAAAAAGTAAAAGGTGGTCTCTTTCTCTCTGTGCTGGGGCTAGAATAGAAAGAGATATGCCTGTAAACAAAGAAAGGAGTTGCAGCTGAAGGACAACAGGCACTACTTTAATTTGAGCACTATTAGTTCTCCCCGCAAATAATAGTCAAATACGCGGTAATTTGTTGCTGCTTGTTCTTTCGGCTGAGCAAAGCAGCAAGCCTTTTGAATGTACAAGCACGGACAAGATCGTGCAGCTGTGTAGTAGTGAGGCAAATGTAACTGCGATGAAATCTGGAACGTTTGGCGCTATTTTATCACGAAGTCAATTATCAACAGGTAATCAGCCTGGATAACTTGGACTTTGGCGTTTTTTGGTCCTCCAAATATATTAAAGTATTCAAGATACGTGCTGAATGTTCAAGTTGTAGAACTCTTGTATTTTTCTGATGAGGTTTCTGCTGGTATTCGCGCATCCTCACGAGCTGCAAAAGATACTTCCAATCCTTCTTTGCATCAACCATGAATCGATGATGATGCAGATTTCAGATGCAAGTGTGTAGCGAGTAAAGCTACACTTAGGTACTTACTACGTCTGTAGTTCCATTCGATTGAAGATAAGCACAGAATTTATTCCTTGGTTTGGCTACTCGTATGTCTTCTTTATTGCATAGTACCTTTAGCTTACATGGTAAAAATTAAAGCTCTGTGCATGTTTACTGGATGATAATCACGACTAGCTGTGGATGCTAAGGTTGCTCGAGGAATGCACCGACGCAGCTCCTGCTGTTCCTCTCCCCTAATTTGGGATGCCAGAGAGGCGAGGGGGGAACGAGAAGAGAATTGTCTAGGAAGAGGACTCAATAACCTTATTTAGTCCTGACCTGAGCATTTTCCTACGGTAAGCTTGAACCAATCAGTTGACACCAAGCCCCTTTGCACTGAGGACTGCAACAGTTGAGGCTTTACTAGTGATGCTTTATCGATTGAGGAGTCTGTTAGCGCGTGCTATCTTCTGGCCACGCAACCAACTCATATCAGACGTCAAAGGAGCTATATATAGTGGAGCTTGTACGTATAAATAGTAGTTTGCTGAAATCATGTGTAATCCTCCACAGAAGATGTCCCCAGGACGACACATAATTCCACACTCCGTACAAGCATACCAAAAAGTTACCCTTTTTCCAAGAAGATAGCTTCCGCCTTGCCCTTCCCTGGCCACTCAGAGCTCAATATAAGGCAAGATGTAATAAGTAAACTGCGCGCTGCTAAATCCTTTGAATACTTTGATTATTAATTGCTGGTTTCGCTTTGCCTCAAGCGCATACGCAAATAACATTGATTATTCTTGTTTTAAGGTATCACTAGCCTTCAAAATTAAATTCGCGAGCAAAAAGACGATCCAAGTGGTCATCATTTCCCCTAATTTGTAGTAGTACAACTGTTGTGGTGCAACGTCCCTAATATGTAGCCGACCCGCGATATCCTCCCCTTTCTATGTCAAAAACACGCCGTCGAGCTCCAAACTTGTTTGCCCCTACGCACTGCCTGCGGAAGTGTTCCCACCCTACCGTCAATACCCATGCACGCGGAAAACACAAGACAATGCATGTTAGTAATGCCGAAAGGGAATAGATTGAGAAGGAAGATAGAATGGACGAAAGATCTAAATGCTTGCCAGACGCGAACGAGGAAACAAACCAACTCGCTCGCGGAAGCAAGAGAGCGCGCTGTTGTCGGATAGCTGAAATGTGCGTGTTGTCTCTACATCCTTACTTATTCCTTTGGGGCATCGGAATTGGCTTTGTTGCATGCTTCCGCTGTATTTTCATGCGTAGATAGCTTTACGAGATGCCGAGGCACTGCTGAACTTCGGTGCATTTTAAATTCCTACAGATTTTACTTGTGTGCCATTTTTCGTAACGGCATAGACACATTTCAGCAGTCCGACGACAGCGAGCTTTCTTGCGTCCGCGAGCTAGCTGGTTGGTCTTCTCTTTCGTGGGTAGGGGGTATGTGGCTGATCTTCCCACTTAGATTTAACATTTTCTTTTCATAGTGCACTGCCATAGCGTTTCTGCCGAGCTTGAGGGTAGGGAGAGGGCGGGAAGTCTCATCTTCATGCAGTTGTGATCGACATACAGGTCAGAAGCACGAGAGTGTGGCTTTGAAATTGGTGGGGAAGATGTAGCGGGCTGAGTTGCACTTTAGTACTTTTGACTGCATTAGTTGTACTTTGTACCAAATTATTAAAGAGTTGATTAATTCGTCTGTCGATTCGAATACCTTATTTATTGCATATGAGCACTACAAGAAGATGCACAGTTGTGCGCGCGTACACTGGATGCTATCTGCTACTGGCTATGGATGCCCTGACTCATCAAAGGACGCAGCAATGAGTAGCCTGCTGCTCCCTTCCCTCCTACAGGAACTCTGAAGGGTGAGAGCAGGCAAATGCAAGAGTTCTACAGAAGTGCACACGAAACTTTAAATTGCATTCCTTCTTGAGTTTAAAGTTTATTTTTACCCTGCTGAGACCTTGGATGAAGCGATACTCTTCGAAGGTGCACCAACGCGCACACCTGCATTTCCTCTCCCCTCGTGTAGGAACCCTAAGGGGCGCGTGCAAGGAAAGAAGGGATCACTTAAGAAAACACCGCAAATCTTTCTAATTAGGTTGTCCTGAGCCAGGAGTCAAGCGCCACTATGGAAGCCCATAGACGGAATTTACAGGAGTAACTTTTATGGTGTTGAGTTAATCCTGCGCTTCCAGAATGAAAAAATGAGCAGCCAGACTATTTAGCCGCTAGTGGAGTGAGTGGTGTCAGAACATAACTAGTTTAATGAAAACTGGTTTGAAGAAGTATGCTTCGCTTGCTGCCACGGGTGCATGCGTTCGACGGAGAAGAGCGCACAAAAACCTGGGAAGTCAAAGGAACAAAGAGTTGGCAGCAGCCTGTACTGCGCAGTGCAGAAAGATTGCACTGTAGACCACACACGACAGAAGAGAAATGCAATGCAACACACTGTATACTGCCAGCTGAACAGCAGGCAGCACCTCTCTAATAACTACACGCCGAAACCAATACAAAAGGCGAGGGAGAAGAGCTCAGTCATGTAGCCGGATCCCTGAAAAAATACTTCAGATGTAAGGCAACACAGAAGCACGTGCAAAATTACGTAATAGTTTTGGAGACTACCGTGTCGGGTTGTGTACCCGGGGCTTCGAACCCCCCAACAGTCGACCGCCTTGATCAGATGCTTGAAGCCCGAGCCAGCGACCGTGAAACATGTGCCATTTTCGTTGTATTTACGCCATAACTAGCTGCCTACTAATGTGGATCGGAAATAAACGAGCCATTTTCCATATTATACTAGCTCTCCCGGGGAGAGCTAGTATGTTTTCTTCATGCAGCGACGACATTGAGCCGCCACTTTGGAGATTTGGATTTTAGTACATTGAGCATATTCTCTTTAGCCTGGGGTGTGTACCACTCACGATGCAGTGGCTGCCGTATGGGGCTTAGTAGCGGCTCCTAAATGGGCAGGCTCTTGGGCATCACACCTTGCTGTACACAGTGCAGATCAACCCTACCCCATACGTATTTTTCATTGCGCGAGCGATGGGGCTTTCTGCAAGAAACAGGGGCATTAGGGCTTTGTCTGTCAGGGGAGCACTGGATATTTTAACCTTTTTGGCTCTCTTCGCCACCCTGTTCACAATTACCGAAGCA